TGAGTATAAACAGAAATGCTAGAAAAGGGCAAGTCCTACTGCTTGGAGGTGAGATACCAGCCATAAAGATAGTGATTTAGCAAAGTTTCCCTCCCCCCACTGGAAACCTGATTTTGATTTGAGAGCTTACCTGGGCTTAAATGGGAATGACTGAGCAAAAGCAGAGCTGTGTCCTGTTTCCAGGTGGATCATATAGCACTCCTTGGAGATGACTTGGAGGAACTGGCCAATTCCAGCTCCTCATAAAAATCCAGATCCCTGCTAGTGCTGAACAAAGGGCAGCCACTTCCCTGTGGAGTCATGACCTTTTCTAATTGGCCAGTATCAACTTAAATGGTTATGTCATGGGATAGTTCCCAGGTTGGGAGGAGGCTGCTGGGAATAGAAGGTGTATTAGGAACAGGCCTACCTCCGCCAGTCCCTGCCCCATGGCACAAGCCAGTAGATCAGGGGTGGGCAACCTGCGGCTGCGGAGCCACATGCGGCTCTTCAGAAGTTAACATGCGTCTCCTTGAGTTGTTGCACAAACCCATGGTGACTAGCTTCCAGAGCCGTTGCATCACATTGTGTGCTTGTGCAAAGATTCAAGGAGGTGCATATTAACTTCTGAAGAGCCACATGTGGATCTGGAGCTGCAGAATGGCCACCCCTGCAGTAGATGGTGAAGTGAGTTAACATGACCTAACCTTGGACAAGGTGACCCCAGCAGGGGCTGTAGGGCTGGCTCCATACCCTGCCAGCGGGGGCTCTGAGTTTTTTATGCCTGTCACAAGGAATTTGAATGTCTGTACAAGTCTTCTCCCTCACCTCCACTTCTCATGGGCTGCTGAATGCCCACCAAGTATCAGCTTTGAGTCAGTACAGACAGTACTGCCATGTAGAAGCTGCTTAGGCTTTGTCTACATGGCAGTGGTGGCAGGTCCTGGTAAGGAAGGAGCCAAGCCCCTTCCTGTGCCTGCATGCATGCTCCAAACCTACAGGCTTGCTAGTACGGCTGCTGTGAGCTCACCCTCAGTGGCTGCTCCCAAACATTCCCCATACTGAAGACACAAGAGTGCCTGGAGCAGAATCTCTGCTGTATTTCCAGCTTTAGAGCATGCCTGCAGGTGGAGTGTACTTGTGGTGAGCCTCAATGGGACGTACACCCCCTGCAATGTGGATACATCTACTGTAGGTGCTGCATCCTCAGACCCCTTTGTTGCATGAATGGTCCTGCATTCCCAGAGACACAGGAGGGTGTAGATCAGTGGTGCCCACCCTTTTTGCTCTGAGAGCCAATTGGCTGGTGCGAAGTGGGTCTGCAAGCCCAATCCAGCATAGCATAGAGCCGGGGCTCAATCAGGCAAATGTTGAATCGGGCTCCAGTCCCACACTCTGTGTGGCGGCCACAGCTGTGGCCCCTCGCAGGATCATGCCTGCCACCCCAGCCTCCAAGCCAGGATCAGGCCCTGCCGCTTGCCCCCAGCCCCGTGCACTTTCAGGGTCTGGCTCTTGCCCCAGCCCCCTGTGTGCCTGATGGAGCTCCATCGCCCACCATCCCACCTGTGCATGCAGGTGGGATCCCATATGCAGGGTCATGTCATCTGGCCAGCAGAGCTTGGAAATTTGGTGGTGGAGAAGTGGTAGCAGCAGTTAATTGCCACTGCTCCCTCCTGTTCCCTTTAGCCACCACTGCCAAATTTCTAGACCCCTTGGGGAGTCCTGTGGGCTAGATCACATGGCTCTGCAGGCCAGATCTGGTCCATGGGCTGGGAGTTGAGCACTCCTGGCATACTCTGTGTCACAGGGGAACAGGCACAGACACTGGAAGCAATGACAGGACAAACGAGTGTTGCTAGGCTTGTCTGCATATCTCAGTGCTGCATTGGTTTAAGTGCACCCATACACCAGGGCACTCAGTGAGGCTGCCTGGAGGCTGTAGGCAGATTCCCCATCTCTTCCAATCTCTTGGATCTGCCTGAGTGGAAGCCTGGAACCCATGTGGCAGTAGGTATTCTTGGACCAAGGCTGAGACCATAGCTTGCGTTTCTCTGGGGCAGAGCCTTTTGTCTGTGTACCTGTGGTCACCACCACACTTGGGACAGGGGAGTAATTCCCTAGCTCGTGGACATGGGTGAAAGTGCAGGGGTGTAGTTTGTTGGTTTTTTTTCCCCGCTTCCTCCCCTGCTTCCCCCCAACTCCAGGCTGGGCTCAGGACAGCGCGCAGGAGAAGGTACTGTACTCGGTAGGAATAAAGGAAGTACCACTTCCTCCACAGTCAAGAGAGACTTGCCTGGGTACTAATGGCCCTCCCCAGGTCCTTCATCTTGGGGATTCTGCTTCGCTGGAGCCAGTTTGTTCAGTGCTGCATTGAACTCTGCATTGCCCAAGCAGACTGGACGGGCACAAATGCAAGAGAGATTTCCTGCCTCCCACAGCCTTGCAGCTGGGCACAAACAGCTGAGTGCAAAAAAAGTGTTTGGCAAGGAGCCTTCCTGGAGATTTTTCTCCTTCAGAACTCCCCTCCCCACCCCCTCCAGCCACTTCTTCATCTAGGGCTTCCAATATCTTCTCTCAAGCCTGGGAGTTGCATGTTATATACCCTTATCTCACTGTATTTTTGTACATCTCTCTTTGAGGAGTTTCCTGATGACATCTGATCAGCACTTTGATGTTGAACTTTCAGAGTGGGGGGGGGGGGTTACCATTTGCAGGTCCACCTTCTGATCATTTCTGCCTGTTCTAACCTGCTGGTTTTCCAGCTGCAGCATGTAGAAATGGAGATGGGAACTCCTGCCTTGTCTCTGGGCAAAGGGCACTTTGCATCCAAGTGTGAACTCTCCCAGAGCTTGTGAGGGGGGCGGGGAGGGAAAAATTGCTTGCTTGCAATCTCAGAATGTGGATGCCCTTCAAAATCTAGTTTTAAACAGTGTTCTTGCCACAGACTTTTGGGATCTGCCTGGGGAGGGCATCTCTCCTGGTCACTGGAGAGGGTTCTGTGGAATTTTTACCTTTGGAAACGTGTTTGTGTTCAAATGTATATGCACAATGTTGAATTTTTGGATAAAACAAGAATAAAATTATTTTGTTAGCATTTAGCAGGTGGCTGCAGTTCTGCGGCAAGCAGCAGTCTCCCAGCCCTTTGAATCCTTGCTTCCTAACCAGCATCACTCTGGATAAGATGTTCTCCAGCAGAAAGCTCCTGTTGATGTTGCAGTCAGCCTGCTGCCCTGCTCAGATGCATGGGAAGACCCTGATCAGCATGAGAGCAGGTGCAATAAAGAATTCAACTTCTCACCCTTTTTAAGATGCGCCTTATGTGGTGGAAAGCCCCTAGAGCCTGTCACCTGCAGAGGCTCCAGCACCATGCTCTTTGACTAAGCTGGAGCCTGCCTACAGCCCTTGCTCTCCCCTCGCACAATGGTAAGTAAGGGCCTTCATGGTCACTTAGTTCTTAAGCCAGGAAAAGACATTGCCCAAAGTCCTCCCAGGTTAATAATGAAGACCCTACCTAGACTGCGGACTGAGTGGTGGAGGCAGGGATTTATTCATGAGCCTGGGGTTTCTCCAGGCCTTCCATGCAAACTGCCAGTCCTCTCTCACAGGCTTTCTCCAGACCAGGACCCTGCTGTGGGACTGCACCCCCGCACCACAGCTGCTGCGAGGCTCTGTGTACCCTCTGTGTACCCTTATGTATACAGAGCAAGAGACCAAGTCTCATCCCAGCTGCTTCTTCACTATGGAGTAAACACAAGATACTACAAGTCTCTTCCTGACCCCAGGGCCACGTAGCAGCACAAGATCCACTGTGCTGGGGTCACAGCAGCTCAGAAGCCCAGTGAAGCCTGTTCTCTATCCATGTGTTAAGCAGGCTGGGCCAAGCCCATCCCAGTAACAAGAATGGGACAGGCAGGGCAGCTGGAGCCCTCATGGTGCAGCTGTCTCTGCCACGGGGATGCAGCCAAGATACAGCCCTGCTCCGAGTTCAACATCCCGCAGCACAAGGCAATGTAGCTACTGTGGAAATGATCCTCTTGCTCTCGCGTTGCCAGAGCAGTGGCTTTCCTGGAGAGAAGGAAGAGGGCTGCCGCCTGCTTTGTGATGAATACCCTCTGGTGGTAACCCTCAGCCCTTGAGCTCAGGCTCGAAAGCAGTGATTCTCAACCATGTTGGTCTCAAGGTGCACCTCTCAGACAATGCCAGCTTAGTTTTCACTTTTTTTTTTCCCCTGCAGAAAAATATTAGAACAATTCTTCTTTTGCAGAGAACTCAGACCACAGCTGGTCAGAATGGTTTTAAAACTATAGATTCCTATGTGAAATCTGTTCATCTTGTGAATCCTGTTTTGCACACCTTACAGCATTAACATCGCATGGCACCCTATGGCACCCTTGACAGGATCTCAAAGTGCCCCAGGTGCCGTGGCACCCTGGTTGAGAACCACTGCTCTGAGGACAATGGGAACCAAGACCTTCTTTCTGAGAGCTTGTCCTGGGCTCATACCAGGCAGGGGCAGCTGAGCTGCTGCTGTGAATCCTGCTCAGCATGAAGCAGATGGTTAGTGCCCTGTGCCTGCCTGTGTTGCTCTCTGACCTCACTCATGGCACAGAGCGTATGATGTAGTCTCTAGATGGTAGATTCTGACTTCCTGAAACAGAGCCTGGGCCACTCTGGCAGCCTTTGGCTGCAGGGCCTAGCTTCAAGGCTACTCCTGCTTTAAAGAGCACTCCTTGGCCTGCTCTCTCCATGCTCCCGCAGCAGCTGATACAGACAGTGGTTTGAAGCTCCAAAGGAATGGGTTAATCAAGCTGCTGTTTTTCCTGCTGCCCGGGGATGCAAAATGGGGGACCGCCCGGAGGAATCCCAGGCGAGCCTGCCTGAAACAGGTTCTCTAGCCTGCCCGGTGAATGTCCCTGCTCCTAGGAAGCAGAATTGGGGCCTGGCTTCCCCTCATGACATCCCCAGGGGTCTTGATTGGTCCAGACAGTAGTTTGATGGCACAGTT